CTTACACTAATATGCTAAGTATAAAGTCCGAGCCGATGACATTTTTGAATAGCTCTATACAATGTCAATAGACAGAATTCGTTCTTCACCTTTCCTGTTTCTATTGTTGTTTTACATATTGTACTTCTCTTCTATTCTAATCTTTTCTAGAAGAGGAGGGTGACCAATACAATCTTGTAAATGTGATGTATCATATTACGTCTAAAAATACTAGAACTTTCTGAAATAAATATTAATGAATTATTTTTAATTTATAATAATCTTGCTGAAAAAAATTATTGTAATGTTGGTAGAAAACTAAATTATCTAAAATATGATGTATTTTCATAATTTTGAATATTTAAAAGCATACTCCTAATACAGGAACTTATTTTGTTGTTTTCTTGATTTATTTGTATGAAATTTGCATGAAAGTATGAATTTGCGTTAAATATTGTAAAATTGCTTTTTATCTTTCTGTAATATTCAATGAGATGGAATTTAATTTTAAAATTAGATTTAATGTAGAGAATTCATTTTAAATTAGCATTTATAGAAAAAAATGTATCTTAATATTTGTAAAGATATTTATGTAACTGTAAAATAACAATTTAACCTAACCGAGAATATAAAAACCCTTTTATAAAAAATATAATAACTCAATTGTGTAGAACTTATTTGAAAGTGCATTAATAAGCTCCCAAAGTTGTTTTGTTAATGGAATTTTATATTCTTGGTTAGTCTATAGTTTTCACTAAAATTATGTTAAAGCGGAAACCCTTGTACAATTTGCTGCATAATTATTTAAACTATTATCTACCGCTGATGCTACAGAAATACTTTTATTTTAAACAATATTATAATAACTATAATATGCAAAACAACCATCAGCAAGAGAATGTTGTCACCAAATTTTAGATATGCAAAGTCAATACAACAACCGTATCCATAGATTTATTCAATGCCCATACATTTATAGTACACCGGAAATGGGCGCGACAACCAAACATTTACGAAACTTCAGAAACTTTTAATACACATTTGGATTTAAAAATATTTATTCATGGTCAAAAGCATATGGATATGTGTTTACATAATTTTGTAACTAAAGTATACAAGTTTGTGAAGATTTGTAAATGTATTTATGCAGCTGATTTTACAAAAATATGCTATCTGTTCTGAGGTAAATAATTTTGTACATCAGTCTGCGAAATCTACGGTATATGGTATTACACATTTTTGGCATGACTTCGTTAGCAAGAAAATAAATCGGATTTTTTTAGATATAATGCATAGTAAATATATTTTTTAAGTAGTATAGTAGCTTTTTTTAAATTACTTAATGGATTTAGATTTATTTTGTTCATCGATTCAATTTATTTGTATTAATAATGGTATTAATAAAGTTTACGCCTGATATTTAAATCTGTTTTATTTTATATCCATTTTAATTTTTAATTAATAGCTGTTGCTCGCGACTTCGTCTGCGTAAAACTAAAAAAAAAACTAAAAACGTAGCTTTTTAATGATGTGAATGATGAAGGAATTTTTGGAGTCGGGCATTTTTTTAAGTTCCTTTAATGCATAATGTTAAATCTTTCCTTTGTACAATATTAGTATTGTACAAAGGAAAGAATTATATTTTTTATTTTATTAATTATTATTCAATTAGATAAATCATTATTCTCTAAATAAACAGAAGTTAGAACGATTTTTTATTTCGAATATCGCGGTTTTTCTCGCACATGTATTCCGAGAACCTTAACCGGACGTAACTGCAATCAGTTAACATTTTAACCGCAAATACATGAAACTGCAGGGGTTACAGGAGATATGAATAATGAAAAACACTCATTATGGTTTGCAATAATTTATTTTAACACGTTCCTTAAGATTTTGTACTTTTAACAATTATTGCAACTATTACAAGAGCAAAAGCGTATTTAAAAGAGTACATGTTTCACTCAAAATACTTTTCTTATTGAAAAAAATGTGTTGCCCGAAAAAAATAAATTGAATTTCGATTCATAAAATATTTACCTAAAATTTTAACGCAACGGCGTTTACAGTTTTTCAAGTACAGTCACTAAGACATTTGTTATAAGGACATCTTATATCATATTATTTTATTTGTACTGTACCAAAAAAAATATGTTAAGCATTAAAAAATAGATATAAAAAAACAGGTCGTGTAAAATGTATAAAACACTTAATTTATTTATGATAAATACAATCAAAATCTTGTAAATCTTAAAATAAATAATTTAAAATATTGTTTTCATTAATATTGTCATAATTTTGTAATAAGTATCGATAAACCTATTGAAGAACGATACAAATTTCCATAGACAATTTGTTATAAACCCTTGTTGAAAACAACCACTTTACATGAAGGGCATTTCCTCTTTACTATATCCTGGAAAAAAAAAGAAACATTTATAAGCCCAATATTTTTTTCAATTAACTTTTAAATTCTGTACACTGTCAATACACTATTTCACTTTTTTGACAAATGTAATTTTTGTCAATAGTGTAAATATTAGGGCCTGTCCCACCACTGGCTGATAGAAGCTCAGATAGGTTAAAAATGACATCACTGTCAGTTATGGAAACAAAATACCACATTTCCATCAATTTTACACGTTGGATTGTTATCAGACTATTTACAATTTAGTACAAGTCCTAAAATTAACTTTTTTTTTATTTCGAAATACGATAGTCGTCTCAATTCAATTGCTGTCAATGTCATTTATTATCTATGGCTTTATTTCGTAAAGTTTAATGTTTACGGATAATACTAACCTTGGCACGGTCCGTTACTTCATTGTATTTATTGGGAGTTACATACCTGTAAGTTGGATTCGATCTTATCGACGCCGATGGCCGCCTGCTGTTCGAACAGAGCACAACAGAGCGGCGTCGCGAACACCACACAGAGCCCCACCAGCCCTAGCTGGAAGGGGATCACCATCATAGGTCGCTTACAGAACATGCCGCGCTTCGTCGCTATGTTCGTTAGAATCGGTGTTATCGCTGCAAAAATTCAACGTCCGTCTTACATGACATTGCTGAAAAGTGGATTTTTAGTAAAAGGTTGTCAACCACTTGAATTCGCCAAAATAGCGAAGAGATCGTTGGCCACAGACAGCATTTGTGATGTCTACCTCAAATTTATAGAAGCAGACACACAAAAAGATATTTCGACTTGCGCCCTTTGTATGAAATATCCCCTCCCCATCCATTCATCCATCGTTTTTTTTTTTAAATTTTGGAACCGTTGTACAGAAATTTTATTTCAAAAATGACATAAGATCCATTTTTAGGCGGGAAAAATTAAACAAATATACTTCGTAGTAAATATAAGAATTTTTGTAGACTTTTTGTTCTTTTCATAGATATCTTGGTTGATAGAAAAAAGGTAAAATAAATATTTTTTGTTATAATCTGTATACATTTAATTATATAAACATTTTGTACGTGTTAACATAAAGGCGACTTCACAATTGTTATTATTGTCAACGTTTAATATATTATCAAAACATTGTCATTTATGAGATATTTCAGTATTAAAATAAATTTAAGGGCCTGTCCCACCAAATTGTAAATTGTCTTAACAATCCAACGTGTAATGCGATAGAAATATCGGATTTTGTTAACCTGACAGTGACGTTATTTTACGCATTATTCCCAATCGTCACCCCTCTCTGTCCCCACGTGGTGACAGATAATAAAAAGCTTCATCCGTTCCACCTTTTGCAATGTGGGGACGGTTGGAATTTATTTTATTTCAAAACGGTTTCATGTTATCTTATTGGTGGTAGTGGGACGGATGAAACTTTTTGTTCTCACGTAGGGACAGAGCGGGTGGCGGTTGGGAATTTTCCAGTTTTACGCTATCTGAGCTTGTATCAACCAGTGGTAGGACAGGCCCAAAAACTATTTAGAACAATAATGTTAATAAGAAACAATTACAAATTATTCCCAATTTGAAAAAAGTTAGAGAGGTAAAATAACACACAAAACAAAATAAATAGAATTATCTCACAAATAACGTAATTGACGGACAGTTCTTGATAACATAAAGTAAAGCATAAATAACACTTAAAAATTAATCACAGTAAAGTAAATGGCTTTAAGATTTCTCAGTTTTACAAAATGTAAATGAAAACACAAAAAAATGTAAATAAACGCTATACAATTGTAAAAATCTGTTATAACGATAATTTCGGAATGTTTTAAAACTGAAAAAGATCAACAAAATAACAAAAAATTCCAAAGTCAAAGTAGTTTATAATTTTTTCCACAAACTAAATTCAGATCCTCTTGAAGTCACAACCTAAAAAAATTGAGCATTACTACACGGGCACAATAACATGATTATTCAATGTAATTACTTACCAGTATACTTGAAGAGCAGGAAGGAGAGAAAAACACGTCCTTCTAGTAGCCATCATAGTCAAAGAAATAAATTCGGTACCCACTAGATCATACATTCACTATCATCACATCACATTAGGCTAGTAATTTAGCCCAGTAGCAAAATGTCAAAAAAATTAGCTAATTATAATCTAGACATAATTTATTACTTTCGCAAATTTTACAACATAATTGTGGGTTAATAAACTATTAATCCAATGGGTAGGAAATAAATTTTCTCGTCTTTATATAAGGACTCATGTTATTGTACACGCGTTGTACGTTACAAACATAAACACATATATAAATAAACTTTCTATGTAAAACAAATACATAGTGGAATGTCTTTGGAAATAAATATACACAATATAGAGCAATCAATAAAATTAATTATACAAAACTGTTACAATAGTACAATAAAAACTATATTAAAAAATTGGCTAAACTCTCAAGTTGTTCATAATCTGACTAATAACTTAACTAACTATAACAAAACTCAAACTACCTACAAAATAATTTGTTCTAGGAACAGGAGCAAACTACCCTACAAGTTGCGGAATTATTTTATAAGCCCTTGTTGAATACGACTTCGGTCACCTCGGGGTGTTTTTTCGCAACTACCTCCTGAAATTGAAACATAATTTGAAGGTAGATAAAAAACATGCTAAAAAAAAACTTTGATCTAACATAGATTAATTTTGTGCTTTATATGAAACAATTGACCCACCCCGGTTTCTCACGGTTCCAATGCTGTTTAGGTCATATTAGAAACCTCTCTAATTATCAGTAATTCTTTCCTCTTCACAATACATATTCATGTTATAAAGAGGAAAGAATTGTAATTTTGGATTTTTGTATGTATTTAAATTACTCAAAAACTACTGCTTTGATTTCAAAAATTCTTTCAACCTTGCTTCCTTAATGTTGGCAGCTTGTAGTTTATGATCTCTTTCCCACATGATGCTTTATTCTAATTTATTTGCCCCCTAACTTTAATAGCGTGAAAATATATAGCCTGAAGCATATCATGAGTAGGGCTTTTATATTTTTTAATATTATTTTTTTATAGTATATCTTTTAATGTTATTTCTGACATCATACATAACAAACTGTGTGTTTACACTTTACTATATTATATACAATGTAGACTGCTAGCTTTCGCCCGCGAATCCGTCCGCGTGGGATTTTTAAAAAAAAAGTAAGTACCCTATGTTTTGTAGACTATTCTCTACATTTATACCAAATTTGATCGAAATCCATTCAGGCGTTTATGCTACAAACTCTAACAAACATCCATCCATCAAAATTTTCGCATTTTTAATATTAGTATGATAGCAGACCATTAAAATCTATGATTCCTTACTTGTAAGTGAGGTTCCAGTCGCTGTACTTGCAGCGTCGCTTGCTGACTGAACAATGCGCAGCAGAGTGGCGTGGCAAAGGTCACACACGCACCCACCAGTACCAGCTGGAATGGCATCACTCCCCAAGGATACTTCCTGAATACTCCACGTTTCGTCGCCATGTTAGTTAACACCGGTGTTAACGCTGAAAATGTTAACTATGTTATAACTTAAAAAAATATGCTATTGTATATATTCTAAATGATATTAATACAAATGGAATAGGTTTTCTGCATACTTTTTCACATTTTCTAAATACCCACAAAATTACTTTATCAAACTACCTATGTAATTTCTATTCAATTCACTATACTATCTAAATACAAATCAAATTACTTTAACATTTTCTAAAAGTAAAAGGAAATAATGGCTTAACTTAAATATAATTTCCATCTTGATATTGTGATTATAAATATTTTGAACATCAGATCCGTAAAACTGAACACATCTTTGTTACTTTTTAAAATAAGTTGTATAATTGAAATTTTCAGTAAATTGATTTAGATAACTTCGATCAAAGTAAAACCACAAAAAACTGATGTATTTATACATTTGGTTATACATAAAAGTGTTATTTGGGTTTATATATTTTATATATGTTGAGTTTCCCTTGCAGAAACATTAATTAATTTAAACAAAAGACAATAAAACATTGTATGCATATTTCAGTAGCGAAAACCAATTATAAGTAATTTCAAATATCTCAAAAATCTCAAGTAATGTGCTTCCCGCACCAAATCTTCGGTACATTATATTCTGCGCAAAGTCGTACGATTTTCCGAGTCGACGAGACATTTGAACAGATGTATATTTTCCAATATTGCGACAATATCCTTCCAGAACACAAAATTGTATTGTACATAGCGGTTAAAAGTGTTGCTGGTAATATAAAATATGAAAGTAATACTTACTCATTCCCGGCAACGCCATTAAAACACGCGACACACACACGAGCATTATTCCGAGCTGTGCCGCTCGTTTTGACTCTCCTATGCGTTCGCCCGACGGCGTGAACACAGGCGTGCCGCCCAACAACTCGCTAAAAACATTTTACACAGCTATTAAAAGTAAATTAACTCTCAATTAATCCGGAATATAATTTCACAATTTCAAACAGTCTTTAACCGTTGACTTAAAAGCATCTTGTCATTTTTTTGACATTGACAGATAGGTGCCTGATAGTTTTCAGAGTTACCAGTAAGTAAAAAATTACCCAACTTATTTCGAAATTCTTCCATGTTACAAGTTGCAAACAATACCAATATGTAAATGATTTGCACCTATCGTTTATTTTTTTTTGTAAACATTGTAATAACTTTTAATTGACACTAAATTAAGCAATTGGTGTTGGTTTTTCCACATAAGAACTCTGAATGAAGGAATTAGGTAATAAAATTCATTAAAAGATTATAAATATTAACTTACTTGCTCCTCATCATAGGAATATTTATAAAATTGGCGCCGCACACCGCCGCGAACGGGACGAGGCGGGCGAATATCGGCGGCATATTCTACAATAAAAATATTTACATTAGAGTACATTCTTATTCTACTAAGAAAGAAGAAATTAAAAAAAAAACAAATTAGCCTATGTGTTCTTCCAAACCATCTTCTACGTCTATGTCGAATTTCATCGAGATCCGTTTAGTCGTTTAGGGTACAAATTCTAACAAACATCCATCTATCCATCTAACCTTTTGCATTTATATGTACTAGCTTTCGCTCGCGACTACATCTGCGCGGAATTAAAAAAAAAACAAATGCAAGTAACCTATATGTTCTTCCAGGCTATCCTCTATATCTATGCCAAATTTCATCGATATCTGTTCAGTCGTTTAGGCTACAAACTCTAACAAACCTCCATCCATCCATCTTAACTTTTGCATTTATAATATTAAGTATGATTAGTAAGAAGTAAGATAATTTCTCATATTGAATTCGACTATACAATTTCTTAGTTATTTAGTTCCGTCAATGTTGCTAATATTTTGTTTGCCTTTGTTTGCGCTAAACATAAAATGTGGGAGGAGTCGTGACGTTTTATGACGTCGCTTTTAATCCCTGTTATTAGAGGCTTGTTACTATCTAGTTAGCATAAACATGATAATTATTTCATCATGCCTTTTATGTAATTGTTTGAGAACGTAATCCTTATGTCAACGCGTGAATGACACATTTAATACTAACTTTCGCCCACGACTCTGTTCGTGGGGAATGCAAAAAGAAAGTAGGCAATATGTTCTTTAAGACTATACTCTACATCTATGCCAAAATCTTTAATTGAGATCCGTGAAGCCCATCCATCCATCAAAACCAGTAAAAATTTTATCATTATTGAGTCACGTTAACGTCTATAATAACAATCAGGTAAAAATTCAACACGTGTTTAAACAGTGTTCAGATACGTTTTTAAATAACGTGCTACTATGGCAATTTTAGGTCATATTACAAAAACCCATTCATCAAAAAATCATGTTGTTTCAACGCTACCAATATTATCTAATCTATAATTTTCCATGTAGAGTAGATGAACGACTAAATAACCGATTGGGGTGTTTACTTTCCTCTAAATGTGGGTAAACAGTGTTTGAACGTTCAAACATATTACTATCCTTGTCATTCATTGTATCAAAAATGAAACAATAATATTTTCATACACGAATGTTTAGGTAGACGATTAAGTACAGTCATCACGTAGTTTCCGGTTTATATTTACTAAACTTTTTTAGTAGGCGTTGGCTGTTACGTATTACTGCGTATATTTGATAGTGAATTTAATATTTTGAACTTTATGTTAATGGATTATGATATCAAATTGAATGGCTTAGATAAAATCGTGCGGATTTTGCTATTTATTTACATGGTGTAAATTGCTTGTCATGATTTGTTGGAATTTCGTATTATACTTAGTAAAGTCGAGGTATTCGTAAATTAAATTAATTTACAAAGCTATATAAAACTAGTCAATAACATAAGAGACGTATAAAGTTATACAAAGAATATTTAGTTTATCTATACTATTATAATAAATCGTAAAAACACACTTCTTTGTTGCCTAAGATGTCAGCAATTACAGCATATTTTTTAATCATTCTTTCTTTGATAAAAAGCCCTACACTTGCGTCACGCTTTAGACTACATATTTTAACGCCATTAAACATAGGGGGTAAATATTTTGGATAAAAACCCTAATGTGGGAAAGAGACCATAATTTGCTGCCAACATCAAGGAAGCAAGTCATGTCATTTAGACATTTGTAATTTGACAAATGTAAACAATAAGATAAAGTTTTTATAATTTTATGTGGATGAAGCCGCATGGGAACAGCTAGTAATATTATAAAGAGGATAGATTTGCATTTTTGTATTTTTGTATGTATTTGATTAACGCAAAAACTACTGGGCCGATTTCATAAATTCTTTCACCGTTAGAAAGGTAATTTATCTGTGTGTAACAAAGGCTGTATTTTTTAATTTCACGCGGACAAAGTCGCGAGCAGTACATAGTCAATCATAAATTATTACGGAATGTAGTACCGTAGTAGCTTTTCTTCGGTATTGGTTACAACTGTAGATTTATTTCTCGCTTGTTTAAAAAATGTTATATTTTAGGAATTACTTGCAAGGCTAGATTAAGACAAAATGTCTGCATCAGTAAGTCTATGATAAACAATGCATTAAATATTAATCTTTTTTAAATTCTTGCATAAGTTGATAACGTGACTTTACACATTTACATTGCAAATTTTAAGTCTATTTGTATGAAGCAATAATTTGTAGAAATTTGCGGACATTTTTATAATATTCCACGGATATATTGACCGAAGAAAGTATGGATGGATTGTGTGAAAGAAGATATGCTTAAGAAAGGAGTGGATTCAGATATGACGGCTGATAAATGTATGGAAGAGCAGCACATACTGTGCCGACTGTAGGGGATAAGGGCAAGTGGATGATGGATATATTGACCGGTAAAAACATGACATTTATTGTCTCAGTTTGTTATATTTTCGTCTAAAATATTACGATATACATTTCATTCAAGTTCTACGTAGAAAATCACCTTGACTGATAAGAAAATTTAAAGATAAAATAAACCAAATCAAAGTTATCAAAAGTTTTATCTCAAAGCATTTCTATATGTATTAGTTATTGGTACGGCAGGTGCATAGTCATTTAATGAGCGATTTAATAAGAGTCCTCATATCTATATGAGGTTATAAAAACTTTTTATTATTTACATTTGTGAAATTTTAATCGCAAATATCAAAATTCAAATGCACAAAAGACAACGAATTCCTTTGACATTGGATAACAATTACCGTTGCCAGTGTAACTTTGCTTCCTTGATGTTGCCAGCTTGTAGTTTTTGTCCCTTTTCCACATGACGGTATTTTCCAAATTACTTACTCCCTAAGTTTAATAGCGTAATATATATAGCCTAAAGCTTGTCGTAAGTGTGCGGCATTTTAATAAAGAAATATTTTTTCCAAGACATGCTGTGACTAGCTTATGCCCGCGACTCCGTCCGCGTGAAATAAAAAAAATGTAAGTAGCCTATGTATTCTTCCAGACTATCCTCCACATATATACAAATTACATAGAAATTCGTTTAATCGTTTAGGCTACAAACTCTAACAAACATCCATCCATCTAAACTTTTGCATTTATAATATTAGTATGATTGGCATCCTAGGCCACAAAGTAATGTGTGTTTAAGCTTTTTTATATTAGTATAGAAGTACAGATATAGTTACATAGACAGCGACACACCTCTATGACGTAGACATATAAATGTCAGTGACGTGACAAGATTAGATAAAACATACAATCTTTATTACAGGTTTAGACCGAATCAGGTTATATGAATGCGGAAAACACTAGTATTAAAAAAACAAATTAATAGTTTTTAGACGTGGTTCAGTCAGGATATACGATTTATGTAGCCATACGATTAGATAGTTATATTTACTAGACGAATTCGGCTTTCTTCAAATGAATACATTTTAACAGTTAATTTACCGACCTATGAACCCTGAATTCAAAGTCGAATAAATAAAATGCTGAAATTATTTAGCGGATAAAAATTTTACTGAACATATTACAATAAAAAGTTAAGTACAAACTTAGTAACAATAATTGTTTTCATACCTAAAAAACATGCAAAATTAGAGACTGAATTGTTTTTTTACCTTAACTTTGCTGTTGAGGAATAGAGCCGTGGTGAGCGCGCCGCCGCACGCCGCGCAGTACGACGCCAACAGTTGGCTGAAAACCAACAAATATACATCTATACCAATAAAATATAACACAAAATATTTAATATAATCTATCGATGTATCTATACTAATATAATAAAGCGTAAACACACACTACTTTGTGGCGTAACATGTCAGCAATCAGCATATTTTTGAATAATTCTTTCTTTAATAAAAAGCCCTACAATTACTTCACGCTTAAGGATATATTTTCACGCTATGAAACTTAGGGGTTAAATAAATTGGACAAAAACCGCACGGGAAAGGGACCATAAACTACAAGCTGGCAACATTAAGGTAGCAAGATTATTAAGGTAATTGTAATTTTGACATTTACAATTGAGAATTTGACAAATGTAAACAATAAAATAAAGTTTTTATAATTTCATGCGGTTGAAGCCGCGCGGGAACAGCTAGTCTTACATATAAACATACCTAATAATATAAAAAAAATATTTAAATCTTTAAATAAAAAAAGTGTTTCCCGGACGATCGGTCTAACAACTCATACAATCGAACGGTCCAACGGGAAATATGTCAATACAACTAAATTTCCTTCTTCTTCCTAAAAGTTACACGTTTTATAAGTCTAAGCCAGAGATTCAAAAATTATATAGAGGAGGCTTGACACTTCATTTAAGACATTTTTCACATAAACATAACTAACGTTATCAAAACCCCATGACAATATAATTAATTGTTTTTAAATTAATTGTCAATGTGTCATTAAAAAAATTAAATGTTTATATAATATTTTTTGTAACAGTTGTGTTTATTTTCTAACAAAAGATGGAGTTTATTTTGATTTTATAAAATGTTTTGCCACATGTCAATATAAGGTAACAAAGTAACATTAAATTTGACAACTGACATAGCACCATTCAGAGAGAGTACCGGTGAAATTTTGTTCACTGCCTCGTCCATATATTATTTAAATGTCTTTGATCTGAACCTCTTTAGGTTTTAGGCGCACCTTTGACTAAACTATCGCACAACTGTTTAGTCTCTCTTTGATTCCAATGAGCTTATATGAGCATAATACTCGATTTATAGTTGTGCAACTAAACAGTTGAAGCTGCGAAACAATCGACAATCGCACCGCAGTTGTGCGACAGTTTAGTCAAAGTAGTAAGAGAGCTATATTCACCGGGCCAGATAAGTTTATCGCTATATAGTATGCAACACTCACGTGGTACTAATGGGTGCATCACCAGATCTGTTGGTGTAGTTGACGAGAGCATTGAATGTCTGATTCAACCACTGCCAGAACACCGTCGCCGGCGTCGTCTTGTAGAATGTTATCATACCTTCATGAAAAAAAAAATAAAAAATGAAAAAAAAATCTGAAAAAAAACCCATATCGTGTGTATTGTAGCAAAAAAAATTATTTTAGGATTTCTACATCAAATGAAACCAACAATTTTAAAAAGTACATTTAAAGTATTTATTTTTTATAATGATGTTTAAAAATTAAGTATTAATTTGTAAAAAAAGGCAACGGACATTTAACCTTCAACTTCATTTAGAATATATTATTTTAGGATTTGTCTTTAGTACTATTGTAAAAAGATTTGTATTTTTATACGTATTGTAATAATTCAAAAGCTACTCGTTACTGGACCGATTATAAAAATTCTTTCATCATTGAAATCTAGTATCAGTGAGTAACTTAGGTTGTATTTTATATTATTTTTTTTAATTTTACGCGGGTCGTGAGCAACATATTCAATAATTTTCTAATAACTATCATGCCTAACAATACGTCAAGAGTTATCAATAAATCTTTCATTGACAAATGACCTTGCTCTGACCCAGTAACCTGTACATTATTAATATATATTTTTATCGTGTATTATTAGCATTACTAATATAACAATAATACATACAAAATGGGTTTTAAAACTTTTAAAACCAAATAGGCCAATAACATCGATCCAAGTCCAAAATTAAGCATTGCAAATAAGAATGTACATATTTTTTTAGTAAATAGTGGCAAAAGAGCAAGCTACCATTAGAATTCGCCACAATAGCGAAGTGATTTATCCATAAACATCCTCATACAATTATGTCGATAATGTTAGAAGAACTTTCTCACGATTACGTTTTAAAGTCGATAACGTTACGAATACCTTCTCGCAATTGTCACTCAAACATTAGGCTTCTGTATTGGGAGCGGGCGCACACCTTTGACTACGCACTATTGTGCGATTGTCGATTGATTCTCAGCCAATTCAACTGTTTAGTTGCTAACTAAAAATCGATTGTGCGCACCTCTATACAAACTCATAGGAATCAAAGCAAGACTAAACAGTTGTGCGATAAAAATGTGCGCTCTTAGTATTCAAATATTTCGATGGCAACAAACAGCTTCGAATATAATAGATCAATTATTCTCGATTTAAATCAATTGATACTGATTAAATGATATGGGAAGATATTTTTATAATGACCAGAAGAACTAGAGCTTTCCTTTCATATAATAAATATTGTTCTATAATAATGTAGGGATATAATCGAAAAACTACTTCAAAAAAGACAATACTAATACAATAGAACCTCGATAACTCAAACCTTAAAAAAATAATATGTTCCTTTCCCATCAGAGCCCAAAAACTCTACAACTTAGATCCTTGATAACTTAAAATATTTTGTGTTTCCCTTGGACTTTAACTTATCGAGGTTCTACTGTAGTAACTAAATTAACGAAGCTTATGTCATTTTAGTATTGCGTCGTGTATCATGTTATAGTGGGCGGGAACTCACCGCCAGTGATGATAGTGTTCATAGGCGCCTGCGCAGACATCCTGCCCATTACAAACATCTTCTCCCCAGTATCAGGATGGAAAGCGCTGTCGTATAAATATTTCGTATCCCATAGCTTATCTTCGTCATACCCGGGTGGCATACGACGAGACTTCCTAAAGAATAATAACTTCAGTACTCAAAGAAATCGTATTAAAAACATAAGACGGATTCCCTCAAACTGTGTTCAGTTATCATTAGACATACCATAGTTAGCACTTGACTTGTAATCTACAGGTCTTGGATTCGAATCCCGCCATGCACCAATGTTCGAATTTCATATGTGCGCTAGCTGTTTTCCGCGACTTCCACCACGCAATATTAACTAAAAAGTAGCCTATAACATGCTTGACTATGTCAAGTACTCTTCAGTGAAAGTCAATTCCAAATCGGCCCAGCCGTTTCGGAGATTACCCGGAATAAACGCGGCTTGCGGACATACAGTCGGACAGATAAAAAAAAATTAAATGCAATTTTTGTTATCAGCAACGCAAATACAGCATGTTCCAGAAATCTGGAATTTTTCTTTTGATATTACAAACAGATACTCCAATTTCATTATATGTATAGATATAGATAATTTACCCTACTTTCTTACGGTGAAGAAAAACATCGTGATGCACATATTTGTGAAGCAATTCAAAGATATATGTGAAGTCAACTCGCAGTGCAGCGTAGTCACCCTAACTTAGGAAAAGCTTCGAGCCCTTCGGTAGGGACGTATAAAGAGCTGGTGATACCATATTTTGTAGTCACTAAACATGAAATGGATAACGGAGTTGCATATGTAAAAATCTACCTGAATTCAGTGACAATCTTCTTAGCCTCATCGAGTTCCTTGTCACTTGCGAAGGCATTGAGCGGGCTGGTTAACCTAAGGAAGTGTTTCGCTCGGCCCATATACGTGGACTGATCGTAACGAGGCTTATCCAAGTCGATTCCACCCATTCTGTTATATCAAGCTGTGAACAATAATTCATATTTAGTATACCTATGTTTAATTATAGTATAGGAACACTTGGTGTCTAAAACTCATGAACCTGGCTGAAAACAGATGTTAATTTTGACACTCTAATTGTTAATACTAATGTTCCCTTTTTAATTTTAATCTTGTTATTAAAAAAAAACTTTTGTTTATATAATACTGGCTTTTATTAACTTTGTTGCGTAAAATTTAAAAATAAACATCGTAAATATAATTTATGCTACTAAGTAACGATGTTTTCTTATGGATAAAGAATTATTTAAATTCATATTACATTTTATATTAGTTTTATAAAACATAATAATATAAAAATTAAATGAAAATAAAATAAATCTTAGTAATATCATAAATGAGAAAGTAGATGGATGGCTGGATGTTTGTTAGAGTTTGTAGCCTAAACGGCTGAACGGATCGTAGATAATAGTAGATCGGAGACGTAGATTACAGTCTGGAAAAACGCATAAGTTGGTAACTTATGTTTTTTTAACTCCACGCGGACGGAGTCACGAGCGAAAGCTAGTAATAAAACTCTATTATAAAACTTATGACTCTTCCAAAACATGTATTAAATAAGTGAAAATCACTACCTTTTAAACAATAACGTCGAAATTGTTCTCTGTTAATTTTTTTTGTCGAACTATTTAACTAACTACATACATATAGTTACGTTTCATTTATTTCACCAACAACCGACTTGAATGGTGGAAAACTATAAACTGTTCAATGATATAGTAGATGAACGTAAAAAGACCAATCTCTCATCTTTAAATACAATCAGTAAATTGCTTAATTAAAATAAACAGTGATCACCCATTGGACGAAAATATATCACAATTGATAAATCAAAGATTTTTTTATTAATTAGCTTTCGCCTGCGATTTTGTCTGCGTGTAATTTAAAAAAAACAAAAGTGAGTAGCCTATGTGTTCTTCCAGACCGTCTCCTACACCTATACCAAATTTCATCTAAATCCGTTCAGCCGTTACAAACTCTAACAAAAATCTAAACTTTCGCATTTATAATATCAGTACGAAGTATGATGACTAGCTATTGTTGGCAACTTCGCTCGCGTGATACAAAATAGCCTATGTTACTCACAGATAAATTACCTTTCAAACAGTGAAAGAATTTTTAAAATCGGCCCAGTAGTTTTTGAGTTATTTCAATACATACAAAAATACAAATCTTTCCTCTTTATAATATTAGTATAGATTATGCACTCTACATAAACTAACTTCGCGCAATTTCTCTAAATAGTAATTTAAACTGGCGTCAAGTATTAATATAAAATAAATAAATTTGTAATATTTTATGAAAATAAACTAGTCATCCACCATCCACCACAGATAAAATAAATATTGCAACAATTGGTATCCAATACTAAACGCGGAACTTTAAGATTTTTTTAAATTCCTTTTTAAATGTTTATTGATATTTTAAATTGTGTACGAATAGTTTTTTAAGCTTACCTTTGCATGAGAAGTCTATTTATGACTAATTCTAGATTGATTTAAGCTTTCACGTTTCAAAACTTTCGTTATAATTGAATAGAACTTTGAAAATATTTTAGTGTGTTCGAAATGGCCTTCTGGCGGCTGTTTTAACTTATTTGACCAAACTGAAGCATGCTCGAAGCCAACCCGTTTGATAAACTGGTTTGGAAGGTATCGCTTCCGCGAATATTAAGCTAATATAAATCGTAATTATCTTGTAGATTACATTGTTTACAAACATACGTCCCTAACTTTTTATATGTACAATTGTTTTTATTGACGTAATTTATGGCTCTACCCTACGATATTTGTTTATTATCTAGAAAAGAAAATAAAACAATCTTTATGTGTGTCTCCCTTTATGTAGCCTTTCGATTTGTAACTTCATATACATACAAATAGGTATGAATTTAGAATTATTTTATAAGCCATTATTTTATTACCTTGACCTTAGTATCTTATCGTTTTAACTGTGGACTTCTATGGTACTTCTGACACTTGTATAAAAAACATATTCTTACCTCTAAATATCTATGTAAAAATTGAGTTAACAATATACATTTTTTTACATCAGTTTCAGCAGTGGAAACTGACGGGATTGAACTGCTGTTCTTAGTCGATTTATTGATCTACTCTCTTCTTAAGCATATCCTCTTTCACACAATCCATCCATACTTTCTTCGGCCTTCCTCCTCCTTTGTACATTTTTATACTGTAGCATATAACTATTTCCTCAAAACGTTACATTTTACTTACTTTAAATTATTCTCATTTGTTTTACGTAAAGATATTTTAATTATTTCAACGTCATAGTCGTTATCCTTTAAATAACGCGATTTTATAATTAAATATTATGTATAGAAATATTACAAAATTGACATTTGTTTACATAAATCTCGTCAAGGTGACGTGACAGATTCTATCTATGTAGAAAAGAGGATAATCGGCATGTAAGTGTCATTTACGATAAAAAAAAACAAGAAAAGGACTATGGTCTTCTAGTCAGTTTCCACTGGGAGAAGCTCTAGTCTAAAAACGTTGTTATCTGTTATTAAAGAGAATGAAAGCTATAATCATATTTTTCTGGAAGTGTCTCGCTAGTGGAAATTCACTTTAATAAAGTCCATCAAAAGGTGGATCCTGACAGAGGGTGCGTGATGTAATTTTACATGTTACATGCCGAGCATACAGACAGTACGTAACGTTACAGGCAATCAGCGAGCAACGAGCCGTTCGATGCAAACGTTGCGCCTCGTAACGTCGGTCATTAATTACGAGATTGTTATTAAAAGATTATGATCTTATAATCTTATCTTGTTAATTTTAATGCAAAGCGCTTGGTTTTATTTATTTAATTTAAAGAAATATGTCTAACATGATCTTTGGCGAGAGAAATTGTGTTTTATGTACACTGAGAAACATGTATGCATATATTTGTCCTGGTTTATTTTGTATAAAGATATTGAAAACATTATCGTATCAAATTAAATAAAAGTATTTCCAATACATTATAAATTTGCCAGTCTTTTTATTTAAATATTTTTATACGACAAAATAATGTAAAAAAATCAATCAGCAGATTTTTAAAAATCAATGTTCTGTAGTTGATAAGATCAAAATGATATAAAAATACGTAGTTTTGATAAGACGTATTTTATTACGCAAGACCTCATTATTTTTAAACAACTAATAAAATTAATGAACTAATAGTGATATCTGTGTAAGCCCTGACCCAGCACAACCTTATTATCTTTTCGACACACGTTGAGACATAGTCTCAGTAAGTTGTGTTTAAAATAATCGATAATATGACCAAAGCTTTTTAAAAATCAAATACTAGAGAAACGGAACTTAATTAATCTGTTTTCCCGATTGGCTTTAACAGTTTTTAATACACAGAATTTAAATTATTAAAATAATTTTCTAAAAGATTTGGTATTCCAAAAAAGATTTATGTAAAAAAAGCACTTACCTATGACTTTCTGGCGATTTAGAAAGTTATTTGTAATGTATATGATTTCTTTGGATTTACAAAAATCTTGCTTCCTTTTAGTGTTACGAATTCATTTTTAACCGATTATTTAAGTTAGATGGCCTTTTTTTAAATGATTTATGGAGTTTTAAATGTTGCGCCGTCAAAAGAATTGGAGGAGTGACACAAAAATCAATTCTTCAAGGCTTTTAGTGTTGTCAGGGACAAAAATGTTAAAATCTTTTTCCAATAATCTTTTTCGTTCGTTCTTATTTTCTTTTTTAAAAAAATGAAATTAATTTGCATAACTAGAACAATAAATTAAATTGAAATTTATTAAATTCTTAATTTCTGTTCTGTTAATAAGCAACATTTCCTGTTCCGATTCAAGCATACAGAGGAACTTAAATCCCTTTAATGTTTCGATAACAATTTAATGTCGATATACAAAATAATTTAATCATATGCATATTATTTAGTACATTTAATGCTAGTCATTAATGTTGTAAAATTTATTTAAATATAACATCTACTTTTATCCTTTTGAATGACATTTTTGCAGAAACGGAATTTGCAAATTTGAAGTGTCGTCTTTGCGACGGTAGCTGTGCAGAAAATTTTCTAATAAATTATAAAAATATACCTTTTATAAAAGGTTTAAAATGTCTCTAATCACTAGAAATGTTTTCCGAGCCCTTGTACAGGTTAGTTACATATTGTGGTTACGATTACTCCCATTATTTAATATATTAGGCTAAGTACGAAATGTGTTTCGTAACGTGTAATTCAAAACTATTTTTATTAATTTACGCAAACTATAGATTTGTAGATAATATCATGATCTTAAATTTGAGTTATTTGCTGCTATGATTATTAGCATTTAAGTTGTGACGTATAAAGTTATTAATATCTCACGTGATGTAGGTACATATCTGAAACAATCAAACATATTGTTTTAATTCCAGGGATCACAGCACGTCGGCAAAGGCGTCCACACTACGGCGATAAACAAGGATAAAAACGTATGTTTTGCGCAACACACAATCAGCACCCTGGTGAGATACTAACTGGTTTACTAATAAAAAAATAAAATAACAAGCAATGAATAATAGACCCAAGAATCTACGAGCATGGTCCAGTAAAAAAACAAAAATAAAACTTCAAATTTTTAAGGTTTAAATATATTTGATCAAGAAATCCCAACAATAAGACATAAAAACTATATAACATATTAAAGGAAATGACTATTACTTCATTGCTTGGTGTTTAACTAAAAATCTATATTTATCCTTGGTATATAGAAAACTATGATTAAATTACAATTAAGTAAAAATGTACACAGAAATCAGAACACATTTGTATCAAAATTTCTTGTTTTCTCTTGTAAGAAAATCATATATCAAAATTATTTGGCGTTAAAATTAAGTTTTGATAGAATATATTTATTCAATCATATGTAAATAAGAGCAAGTCTCTTAAAAATGGTCTACTTTCTTAGATATGATCCATATTATTTCTAGCAAACAGCATAATGCAGAACAGCAGTATACTTATTCAAAAATAATTTATGTAATAAAAAAAAAGTTTAATAATTTTCCCTTGGGCAGGGAACTGGTGTCCAAACTAGGGTGGCGCCCTGTGTAATGGATCACCAGGCCCCAAATTGAATATCATACTAAATAGCAATGTGGCCTTGTCTTTATTATTTTAAATTAAGTAAGACACTTCTCCAACATATGTCTATAAATATCTGCAATCTTCATTTAAGGTGAATTTATTAGTTTCTGCAGCATCAATATTGTGTAAGGATATTTTTTTTTGCATGATTCTACACATTACGGCCATTCTACATTCTCATCCAAATTGTATAGTAATTGGGATTGGGATTTGTATTTCATTGGCAGATAAAACACTTTATTTCAAAATTGCCAATAGACAAATGGATATTGAAACATAGACTAGATATTTGTATGAAAATAACAGTAAACAACATACAGCACTAGCTCACTATACATCCCCACCGAGGGGCTCGGAGCCTACCCTAATATGGGGTGACTAGGCCATAGTCAACCACGCTGCACTGCGGGTTGGTTGACTTCACA